GCGAGACCTCATCTTTACAATCAATCAAAAAATCAGCCGGGCGTGGTAGCGCGTGCCTGTAATTCCGGCTACTTGGAAGGCTGAGGAGGAAGGATCGCCGGAGCCCAGCAGGTCGAGGCTACGGTGGCCGGGAGCGGCCGCTGCACTCCAGTCTGGGTGACAGAGTGAGACTCCAACTCAAAAAAAAAAAGAACTCTTTCTAGATGTTTTGCCTTGGGATGGGGGTAGGGGGTGCTGAGAAACAGCACAGTAGCTACGAGGAGATATGGAATCACAGGTTCTAACTTTTGTTTGGCAGATTCTAGAGCACTTTTGTGCGCCGATGCCCACAACTCATGAGAGAGGAAGAAAGTGACCACGTAAAAGAGAGGGAGATACATGTAGGACTCAGTCCTTGAGAAGGCGGAATGGGCAGGTTGGGACAGTAAGGGATAGAAGATACATCTCTAGATGCTGGTAGATCTGGTGGGGGAAAACGAGGCGTGGTCATGGGGAGAGAAAGAGCACCGTTCATCAAGTGTCTACGAAAGGCCTGCTCTTTGCCAGGCACCACATACCAATGGCACCTGGGGTCAAGAGCTGCAAGATGGAAGGCAGAAATGCGTCAAGAATGCAGCGGTTGGCTGGGCTCGGTGGCTCAGCCTGTAATCCCAGCGCTTTGGGAGGCCGAGGTGAGCGGATTGCCTGAGCCTGTGGGTTTGAGACCCGCCTGGGCAACTTGGCGAGACCTCATCTCTACAATAAATCAAAAATTAGCCAGGCGTGGTAGCGCGCACCTGTAGTTCCAGCTACTGGAAGGCTGAGGCAGAAGGATTGCCAGAGCCCAGCAGGTTGAGGCTGCGGTGGCCGGGAGCGGCCATTGCACTCCAGTCTGGGCGACAGAGTGAGACTCCAACTCAAAAAAAAAAAAAACAATGCAGCGGTTACAGGGCCAAAATATATCCATATAGCTGAAAAGGTTCAAGAAGTCCAGGCCTCCTTCTGACCCATAAATAACTCTTTCTAGACGTTTTGCTGTGGGATGGGGGTAGGGGGTGCTGAGAAACAGTAGAGTAGCTAAAGGGAGATGTGGAATCACAGGTTCTAACTTTTGTTTGGCAGATTCTAGAGCACTTTCGTGTGCCGATGCCCATGATTCAAGAGAGAGGAAGGAAGTGACCATGTAAAAGAGAGGGAGATATATGTATTCATTACCCACACAACTGAGAAGGTTCAAGAAGTCCAGGCCTCCTTTTGACCCAGGCTGGAACAAAAGAAGGATTCTCTTGGGGCCACGAGGGCTGGGTGCTCACTACTCACCGACACCATCTTGCCCTCAGAGGGCATGAAGGCGGGCCGGTTGCTGATGCGCAGCTTGGTCTGCAGCGTGTTGAAGTTGATCTCCAGCTGGCATTTCTCCTGTACCTTGGGGGGCTTGTGCTTCCGACGGTAATCCCGGAAGTCCTCTAACTTCTTCTGCATGGCTTGCATGGTCTTCTCGGGAGTCCGGTTCTCTAGCCAGGGGATCGTGCGACGAATCCATTCTAAAAGCTGCTCCCCAAACACAAAAAACACTGCTGAAAACACCAGCAAGGTGCCTCCAGGTAAAAATACAGGCACCTGATCATTTGGAGTGGATTAACTAACCATCCTAAAATGACTCAAATATGGTTACATGCCCCCAACTTAAAGGGGAGAAGGCACCTCTGTGCATGGCGGCATGAACGCAATTTTCAGGGTCCACCCATGGCCACTAGTGATCACCCCAGCGATACCATATACAAGTCGAAAACTTAAAGTGAGCACATAAATGTGACATTTACAAGAAACTCAGGGACCAGACATTAGCAGACAAATGCTGGATGGAGCTTCCAAAACAAAACAAAACAAAACAAGAAAAACCCAAATTCTGACATGGTGGAAATGTAGTGTAATAAATTCAGCAAATAATTGGGTTTAACTTAACATGCGTTTTTTAAAAAAAGCTCAACCCCAACAAATTTATTTACTGTACAAATGCACTATAAGCCTGAAAATGACTCAATGACAAAGTATATTTTAACATCTAGCTTTTAAGAAAATCCACATGATGTAAGTGAAAATGGTAGTGAATTCCTAAGGACAAAATATGCACCCTTTCTCTTGAATTACTGCCTAGGTCTTAGAAATAGCCACCTGCCGAAAAGTTCGCCTTTTATACTTATACCTACCTGATCACTTGGAAAATGACAGCAGGTTAGAGTTTTTAAAAATGGTTTAAATGAGGATATACCTATAATTTATGGGTTCTAGGAGGATAAATGAAGGACCAAGTAAGAAAAGGAAGGCTGGAATTACTAAGAATCCTCTGTCCCTCGGTCCTGGTCATGTTTCAGTCCTGAGGTTTGCAGCTGACATTGAACAATGTCATCAAATTAAATTTTTCCATAGTGGCAGTGTGAAAATATAAGCTCAGTGATCATGAGACTGGATTGATATAAACTACTATTTGGGAAGATTCTTTCCAAGTGTCCTGATGCTTTTCTCAGTACAGACCAAATGTTGGCTCGGTGACCCAGCCTGTAATCCCAGCACTTTGGGAAACCGAGGTGAGTGAATTGCCTGAGCCCGCGGGTTTGAGACCAGCCTGGGCAACTTGGCAACACTTCGTCTCTACAATAAATCAAAAATTAGCCAGTTGTGGTAGTGCATGCCTGTAGTTCCGACTATTTGCAAGGCTGAGGAGGAAGGATCACCGGAGTCCAGCAGGTTGATGCCGGGGTGGCTGTGAGCATACCACTGCACTCCAGCTTAGGTGACAAAGTGAGACTACAACTCAAAAAAAGAAAAAGTCAGAGCAAAATCATTTGGTCTTGAGTATATGTCTCTGTGCTCAAATTCAGTCTAGAGAGAATGTGGCCATGAACTTCACTCAATCCATGCTTTTATTAGGGAAAACAACGTAGTGAGGAGACTACTCAGTTGCTGTTTTTGCTATAATAAGAACAAAAAGAAGAAAAATGTGGAAAGTGCTGTTCTAACCAAGAATCTGGCTGGAGAGCTGTGGAAAGATGGAAAGACACCACAGAAACTCGTGCTCAAGTATCTCTGGGGAGGGCTCTATCTTCCCCAAATGACCTTCTAGATTTTACAGACACACAAGGAAGGCTGAGCGGCCACCTCATAGCAGATTGGGCAAGTTCCCTGGATGCTGGGTCACCATGTGGAGAGAGGCCTCTGAACATGGAGAGTGTCCTATGCGATGTCAGTAGCTAATGAAGCAGGAAAAAAAAACCAATGCAAAGCCATCTGGGGTGTCCAACCCTGGGGGTACAGAGCTGCACGTGTCATCACATTCTGCTATCTTGAAACACACGCACAACCTCTCTGCTTTGGGATCGCTGGAAAGACCATTTGTGCCAACAGTTATGTTGCTACAAGGTGAACAACCTTGGAATGTTCCTATTTTCATCCTATCTGAGATGAAAAACGAAAGAAAAAGAAAACACTGACAGTCCGTTTTCACCCTCTGTACCTCACCCCCTGGGTGAGTATGGATGGGTCACCAGTTTCCTTTACCTCACTTGCTAGCCTCTCATATTCTTCCATCAGCCTCTCATTCTCTTGATTCACAGCAAGAACCTTACATATCCTGTTAGCTGCTGTCTCGGCCTGTAAAACACAATAGGTAAACAGGACGGCTCTGTCGACGGGGATGCGTACACAGAACGGACGAGGGAGGTGATGGAGTGACGAGGGAGATGGCGTGCTGCAAATGGTGCAGAGTCTAGGTTGGGAGGGGTAGGCTGCGGGCATGACTTGTTCATACTATGAATCATTTCACACCTTGTTTAGTTTGCACACAGACTTACACGGCAGGCTGATTATACTGTAGGGAATAATGGGGAGACATCATTAGTCTAAAACACAAACTTGGTAAAACATCAAGCAAGTTAGTAACAGAAATATATGGGTCAAGGAAACCAAGATCTTGGATCCCTGAATGTTCTCCTGAACTCTTCACTGACCTTATGACAACTGGGTGGGATCTCCCTGATTAACATAAGACTTTGGAAATCAAAGCAAAATAACGGGGTCCTAAAAACACATATATGTCACTGTGCTTGAATTCACTGAAGACCTCATCTCCTTAAATGAGTACGTAGGTAGACCTTTCTGGATGGGATCCTTCTACAGAGTTGAGTTTGTTTTAAGGCTCATTTAACCTATATGAGGAGTCACTGAGGTAATAATTAATTCTCCAGTGTCTTTTGTGGAAAGGAACTTGGGCCAGGAGTGGCAACGTTCCTTGAATCACGATTTTCTGATGGAACAAGAAGAGAAACTTGCCTGTCCAAGCTTCCAGGGTCAGAGCCTGTCACAATACCTTGCCTCTAAAGCCGTAATTGTCCTGATAACAGGCTGGTTTCCAGTTCTCATCATTGCCTAGTGATGGTGTTTAAGGTGATCACCAAAAGAATGCATACTTTGTCCACCTCAGTCTATCAGGATTCTCCAAGTAGAGGTATGCAAAGGGGCAAGAAACAGTAGAAGGCAAAGATGCAGAGCTGAGGGCCATTCTCCCACAATATCTCTTAGGTTGCCTGTCTTAAGGAATGCACATTTTTTGAGGTTCTAACACTGTTATCCCTTCCATTATTTCACATACGATAGGATGAGTCCTGAAAGATGTTGGAACAAATCACTGACCAGTGAGAGGCAATTTCTAGGCAGAGGAGAACAAGGGGGTGCTGGAAAGTCATCCATTTTCCCTTGTCAAATTCTCCCTTTATTACCCAATGCACATGGCTCAATTTACTTGGCACTTGTTTTTTTTCTAAAGCACAAATATTTTCCACAATTTGCTAATGAAATAAAGGAAATATCTTAAAAGAAAAATACATAAAATCATTTCAGGAACTGTTTAAAGTTAAAGCTGTTAAAAAAAAAAGTATGCACAGTTTAGAACTTGCCATTTAGGTTATTATAAAACACTCAGAAAGATTCCAAGGTGAAATGTGAAGCGCACAAACATACATCCAGGTATGCACACGCACACGCCAACTAAAACCAGTGCACAAGGGTGACACAACAGCCCGGACGCACATGCGTTGAGTACCTGCTCCGCGCCCGCAAAAGCGTGGTAGAAGCAAGAGACGTATGTCATGATGGCTCTTTCATCGGGTTTGGGGGTGTTCACAATGTCTGAAGGGGGAGAAAATAACACAGGACACACACACACACGCACACACACGCACACACAAAGAGGGGTCCAGGGGGAACAAAGGGAAGAACAAATTGGTTTACACTGACCAATTACTGTGTGTTTCATGAGCCCACCATCCTGAACCTCAGAAGGCCAAATGATATTGAAATGACTCACGAACAGGATCCTTTGAACCAGCGTGTTTCTTAATGATCAAACTGAGGGTTTATTTTCTCCCTCACCCTTTGATATGGGCTTTTGAAAGGGAATTCAACCCATTCATATGGGAAGCTGTCTGCTGCAGATCAGAGTTTGTTACTCCTTCCTCTCTGGTCTTTGACCCTGTCAGAGCATCCGGCTCTCTGCTCTGAGGAACCCACGTCAATCTACAAGATGCTGGGTATAGTCACAGGGCTGTCCTGTGCTGTTTTGCTGTTTCCCCACCCCCAGTCTCATAATTGTTGGGGATGTCTGCACTGTCAACTTTCCTGGCTTGTGTAGGGATGAAATTCATTGGAGAGGGCGTGTCTTTTAATACCCTCTATACATACTTACCATGCTGCTTAAAGAATCACCAAGGATCACAAAACACCTATAGAGAAGGGTACATACAGCTTGTGCTTATTATGACTCTTGCTACTCTTTGTAGTAGCTGCCGACATACGCAGCAGGAAGAGAAAAAAAGAACCACATGAACCTACGTCCGTTCTTCCTCCATTGTGGTAACACTAGTTGTTGGTAAATTGCTTTTTAACCTTGTTTGTAAACTCGGGTCAGTCAGTGGACAGAATGAAGTTGAAACAATACCTTATGATTTCCTATGGTGAAACCTAGTCATTGGATTCGCAGAGACTATGAACAGAAAAGATGTGGGGTTGTATAACTATGGAATTTTCTGGAAAACAAACATGAACAGCATGCCACTGCATGAACAGAAAGTAAGTTTCAAAGAAAACTAGACTAAAAAAGACAAATGACTGCTCCCTCAGAACCAGACTAGTCTCCTTACTCGGAGAAGGAGGAAAAATAGAGGAAAACAACTGAAAAAAAAATTCAGACACAGAAGGTGAAGGGTGAGCAGTGACTCATGGTTTGACATCCTCACCTTCTGTGCACCAGCAAAAGCATGATAGTAACAGGAAACATAAGTCATTATGGCTCTTTCATCAGGTCTGGCAGTGTATACTAAATCTGTGTGGAGAAAAGAAGGTTAACTGCTTGGATGTTCTAAAACCAGCAGGCTCCTGCTAAGCGCTTCCTCAGAGAAGTCAAAGTCATGAATCTTTTCCCATCGCCCACACACACTTATGTTGTTAAAATCTCAGCTCAAACCAAAGAAGTCATACCTGCAAAGTCATTACTCTCTGTGCACTTTTGAGAATTGCCAAGAGAAACAAAGGACTTGCCCAAGAAAAGAGCATGGTTCGCCTAGAAGAGCCCTTAAACTAGCAAGAAAGGCACATCCTTGGCCTGAAGGAGGCCTCCAGAAGGCAACAGAATGCACAAAACAGAGCATTCCCAGGGACTTTCTCTCACTATACACACAGAGGGCCTAGAAGTCAACAAGATCTCTTCTGCAACTCCACACAGAACACATGTCCCCACAGATCTAAACCTGGTGATCCCACCTCACGAAAGGTTTGTGGAGAGAAATACAGAAATAATCTTCATAGTCTTTTAAAAGCATGGTAGATAAGTTGAAGGAGAAGCTCACCAGTTTTTACTACAAATAATAGTTCATGAGTGAGCAAGCCAATTAGCTGCTTGAAAAATCCCCACTTAGGGTTCAGGGACCAACACAATGACAGAAAGTAAGGCCCACGCAGCAAGTAGGAAGGCAAAGATTTGCCAAAAGGCATTAACAACCTGTGAAGAAGAGACCTGGCCCGGACATTACAATAAAAGAACGGTGGAAATAGAAATATGTTGATAAAACACTGTGGTCATGGTAAATCTGAATGTAGGTCACAAACATTACAAACGGGAACCCCATGGAGTAAATCAGTTGGGTAATTATACCACAACGTGCTCCAAGCCCAAGGCAGCCGAGTTCAGAACCGATCGCCAGTAGACTCTTAGGGGCAATTACTCCAAAAAGATAAGAACACAGTGTGTGAGTAGCCTTCTGAGTCATTAAATGGGAAAGATGAATAAAAGTAACAGAAGACTAGGAGGAGGAAATGCACACAGCGCTAACACGTCCCATCTGCCTGTAAGGATCGACAGAATGGACATATGCCCAGTGCTGGACTCAGAGACTAAAGAAAAAACCCAAGAACTGAGAAGAAGAATGCTAGCAGTGCCAGAGTAATTCTGCAATGCTCTTGCTAATCATTATACACGAGTGTTTGAATATGAACCTTACCCTCAATTTGAGAAATTAGGGAGGCATTAATAAACTGGAAAATAAATTGACTAAATGTTGCCTGTTTTGTTCTTTTTTTAGTATCCTGGCTATTAATTCAAGGGGGAAAACTCTGCATAGTTATTTATTATACAGTTATGTATATATAGTTTTATATATATAGTTATTTATTATACAGAAAGGTCAAAGGAGAGACCATACAAATATAAATTTAGCTTAGAGAGGATGGATAGACAAAGAGGAAAGAACATTTTCTGTGTTCCTGCTTCATTCCACTTTCTCCCTTTAAAGAGTTTTTGAGAAACCATAAGTAGAATTCTGAACAGTGCATTCAAGTGTTAATATCCAATAAAACAGATGTTTGGTAAAATGGTTAAATTAATAAATGGGCAAAATTAGAGTCCTAATTGAAAGAACTTGTATCCCCCGAAAAGACATGTTGATGTCTTAACCTTCAGCCTCTCTGAATGTGACTACTTAGAAGTAAGGCCTTTGCCCATATTATCAAGGTGTGGTCACACTGGAGTAGGATGGGCCCTTCATCCAATAGGACTAGTATCCTTATAAGAAGAGAAGATACACAGAGACAGACACAGAGGGGAAAGGCCATGTGAAGACAGAGGTAAAGACTGAACTGATGCTGCCACAAGCCAAAGAATATCTAGGGCTTCTAGAAGCTGGGAGAGGCAAGAAATGATCCTCCCCTGGACACTTAAGAATCCTCCCGACTCCTTGATTTCAGCCTCCAGAACTGTGAGAGAATAAATTTCTTTAGTTTTTAAGCCACCCATATGTGGTAATTTGTTACATCAGCCCTGGTACAGTCACCCAAAACAAGGAAGAAAAGAAGACTGACTACTAATTATCGAGCTCTTAATTTTCCCTAACGATGCTAACTAGTGGAAGCAATGGACCATTAGAGAATAACAATAAAAGTAGTATATGAACATGAATTCCTTGAAGGCAGGACGTACATCTCATTATCTCCTGGAGCATCTGGCAGTGAGTCTTGTTTATAGTAAGTGCTCAGTAAATGTCTCTTGAATGATAAGTTATGGTAAGTGAATACATGAAATGAGTGACTGGTGTTCACATATCTGTGCCTTAAATGGTGTGCCATAGGTACAGTTTACACGAATTCACTACCTAAAAAGGGCATACAAAGTATGTGAAACTAGTCTCTAGAATGAGTGGTGCTAAGGTATAGACATTCTTTCAGATCTAACTAAATTAAGCTTAATTTACACTAATTTAAAATGAAATGTGAAAGTTTGGATGACATTTTGATGGCTCAATGCTCCATATTCTATATTTCAATTCTATAACTTCTAGCTGGAAGGAAGGATTTAAAAATTTTTTTTTCTTAAGTATGTCACAAAGGGATTTATTCGCTAGACTTATCTCTCCATGATTAAGGAAATCATTATATTGATAGAAAAATTAAAAAAGGAAATCATTTTTTGAAAATTATAAACAAAAGCATTCTGTTTCTTTGCCAAAGCTGAGCTTTTAAACAAATCCTTTTTCTATAGTTTTGTTGGCTTACTTGGGGGCAGTATTTTTAAAAAACGTTTTATGAACAAGCCACACATGAAACTCTCTAGTACTCATGTGGTCAGTGACAGAAACTTGTTAGGAACCTACCCTAAGTGCTTCAGATGTAATTTAGCTGTAAAGTTTTACGAGGCCCCTGTGTGTAGCCATAACATTTGTAGTCCACCGACTTTCTGTAAATCATTAAACGCCATTTTCATCTCACCTTCAGCATCCAACATTTTAGGAATATCCAGGTGTTTCTCCGCAATTTCCATGGCCAAGTTAATATTTCCTATGGGGTCATCCTGCAAGAAAACCAACACAATCAGTTTTTAGAAACATATTCTGAAACAGTTCACCAATTGTCTATATCTAAATATATATTTATATTTAATTTAGACAAATATATATAAATTTAGAACGTGTGTGTGTGTGTCTGTGTGTGTGTGTCTGTGTATTCTGAAACAGGAACTGTGTGCAACATTTTTGTTGTTGTTGTTGTTGTTTTCGGTTTTTTTTGAGTCGGAGTCTCACTCCGTTGCCCAGACTGGAGTGCAGTGGCATGCTCCCGGTCACTGCAGCCTCCACCTGCTGGGCTCCAGTGATCCTTCTGCCTCAGCCTTCCTAGTAGCCAGAATTACAGGTGTGTGCTACCACACCCGGCTAGTTTTTTATTTATTATAGAGACAAAGTCTCGCCAAGTTGCCCGGGCAGGTCACAAACCCGCGGGCTCAGGCAATTCACTTGCCTCGGCCTCCCAAAGTGTTGGAATTACAGGCTGAGCCACCGAGTCTGGCCATGTGCACCATTTTTATACACCTCCCTTTGGGCAGGATGCTTTCCCACCCACATACAACCACAACAGCGTAAGTAACTTTCCTTCTCATCCTTTCCCAATTACTTCAAACATTTAGAGAAACATCAAAAAATCACAGAAACCACACAATCCATGCAACTGCAATTCATCAGATGAGAACAAAAGGCTTAAAAGAACAAATGCACTGGCAAGAAAGAACACTCTGAATACATGGGAGCATTTCAAGTCTATAAATAACAAAATTTAAATCATTCTAAAAGAAATCATGAAACATACACTTTCCGGCTTTGGAAGGTAATCTTGGAGGGTGTTTAACACTCTGGTTTTAAAAATAAGAAAGTTGAGGGGTAAAGAGCTGAAAGGGCAATGAGTGTTGCTCTACAATGTTAAAGCGAAAAGAAATGACAAAACCTAATGATTTTGAGTTCATGAGGAAATTTTTGTTCTTAAAAGTGCCTTTGTTTATCTTCTACTGTAAAACTGGCTAAATATATGTAACATAACAAAATAAACTCAACCAGAAGTGAATAACTATCCCTTTGCACTGGAGACACTTCATGGATCACCTACCAGCACCCTGACTGCACTTTTGTATGACATAGGGAAAAATGAATCACTTCATATTAAATAGTAGAGTATTGGAATCAATTATTTCATTGCAATGATATTTGGCTTGTAATGGAATTTTAGATGTTGAGAAACTTATTTGTGACAAAAATCAAAATTGTATATCTTATATTTTTCTCATGTGTGGTAATGTGTGAAACAGTCACCGACATGCATTGCAGGTTCATTGATACATGCTGTGCAATAGTAATTTGTTTGATGTCTTCTACCTGGTGTTTTTCTATTTGAGTAGACAATGAAGTCTTGTTTTCTTTCTCCCACATTAATAATATGTAGTTTATTGTCCTGTATGTAATGAGATGTGGAAGGATGCATTAGTGATTACTGAAAACCACTTCTCAACTGATCAATCATATCTCAGTATATATTCCATCTCTTTATTTGCTTTTTTATGTAATTTAAATTGAAAACTTCAAGGAAACATTTTTTTTTAAAGCTTTGTGCTGGCATAAGCTTATTCTGTATAATCACAGGCAATCTCTTAATGTCCCCTGAGAGGGGACATCTGAGTGCAAAGGGCTAAAATAATGAAGACAAAGAAGACTTAACATTTTTTGTTTTGACCTATTAGATAAACTAACTATTATGCATTTGAAATAAGATGGGAATAAGATAGAAAACTCAAAATGAAAAGTAATGTTAGTCCTGGGATGACTTGAATGAATTTTCACAGTAAAGTTATTTCAACATTTTAGAAACTGCAGTGCTTTGTAACATGCACAATCAGTTTTATATGGTAAAACATTTGAAGGGTGCAGGCTTCAAACATATTCATAGGGCTCAATGAAGCAGCTCAAAATTAGATTTCTGGCCTACCAGAATATACATTTTCTCAGGCAAATAAAGTTTTTAACTATATGTTGTTTTTAACAGAGCACATCCTTTTTGATTGAAAGCAGTTGCTTCATTAAGCGAATTTTACCTGCATATTTTATGCAAATGTTTAGGAAGCCAAATAGTTGAAAGTTTCTCATTTTTAAAAAGTATAGATCGATGCCGCAATAAAATCACAGAGTGATGATTCTGAGACTTTGTGAAAGCTGTTTCACATAGACTGTAACATACAGTGATAAAATGTGGCAATTAAGTATTTCCTAGCTCAGCCATTGGCCACATAACCTTGGGTGGGTCACTAACTTCCCACTTCTTCTTATGTAAAACTGGGATAATAATAGTACCTACTTTATAGGGTTACTGTGCATTGTGAAGATGGAATGCATATGTATGTGTGGTTTATATATATACATATATGCGTGCATGTGTGTGCCTGTGTGTGTGTGTGTGTGTGTGTGTGTGTGTGTGTGTGTGTGTTTATTTATGTATAATAGTGCCTGACCTGGCTTTTATGTATCAGTTGCTGTTGCTGGCATATTATTATCATTTTCTCATCCATCTTAGATGGTCAATTACAACAGGTCTATTGACCTTTCGTAAACAAAACAAAACAAAACAAAAAAACTGACCATTATAACTGCTGATGAAACTGAGTCTCACTAGTACAATCCCCTCATTTTGAAGATGAAATTAAGATTAATTGAAAAAAAAATTGTACACTGTCTCTATGTTTAAAACATTTCAAAGTAACTCAAGGGATAAGAAAATATATGCTTTGAAAAGCCGAGAAAAAGCTCCATTTTCTCGGTCAACTTTACAGTATTGTAGTCTTAATATTTAGGATACAAAATGAGTTCTTCATGGGCTACTCCGTAGTCATGGAAACAGGCTGGGGGTGGAGGTGGGCAAATGATAACTGAATAGATGGAGAAGCCAAGACACTCTTCTTAGAACCATCCATGCCACACGGGTGAGGGCAGCATGCAGGAGGGTGAATTCCACGCCAACACACAGCAAAGGCACGGGAACGGCGAGCTAAGCACACCAGCACCCAAGAGGAAATGTGCAGGAACCACCACTGTGGGATATGTCTCAGGGACGGGCCGCACTTGTGACCCTTAAACCTCCACACTCAACATTTCTAAGGCAGCATGGATCATCCACAAGATCCAGGAGGGGCACTGATTTCTTTTTCCATCACAGATGACATTTTAAAACTACTTTTAAGGAAAGAAGTCAAACACTAACCTGAGCTGTAAGCACACTAAACCCGCAGCTTAAAGGGAGAATTAAAGTTTTCTAAACTGGATTTTCTAAAAAAAAAACAAAAAAAACAAAAAACAAAAGACAAACCCAAAAGACCAAGCCATCCCCAAAAACTCTGTTTCTAAGGCTGTGACTAATACCTTATACCAATAGCGAGATATTTATGAAACATTCCTTGTGGGAAAAACAAGTTAAGCAATTCTGAGTAAATATGTCTACAACTAAATTCTCCAGAAAAGGTAAAGGAAACTAAAAAGGCTTGGCGTGTTCGAACCTTACTTTTCCTGTAAAATATAGGCATTGATTCTCATATTTACACTCCAGGATACAAAATCTCTAAGAAACACAGAAACCCTGCATAGTAAACTAAGCCAAATCAACAAACATATCTTGATATGGGCAAAAAGGGATGACCCGGCTTCCAGTGCTGCCCTCTCTCATTACAGCAGATAAGTTATTTTCTTTTCATTTCTATTTTTGACTACCCTTCATATATTCTTCTTTTTAAAATGTAGTTACTTAATTTTTTAAGAGATGGGGTCTCGCTATGCTGTCCAGTCTGGTTTCGAACTTCTGGCCTCAAGTGATCCTCCCCTCTCAGCTTCCCAAGTAGTTGGCACAACAGGCGTGCGGCACGGTGCCTGGCGACCTTTACACGTTCATCATGGAAAAGACTAGCTGGGAGAATCTGCTTTTTCCTGGTGGCCTTTTCTGTTGGCAGCCACGGGGTTTGTGCTAGTTTAGTGCTGATGTGCTCATTCGCAGGACGACATGCTGAGGCAGGAGGCTGAGGACACTGCATGCTGGGCCACACAGAATGACCTTGTTCAGCTTTGAGTAGTCAATGAGGTCGGGCCGGTGTCTGTGGATGAGGGCACAGAGGCCAAGGCCATCTTTCCAGCTGCACAACCGACGAGAAGAACAGGAACACGTGTGAGTGGAGAGGAAGCAGCAGCCAGCTTCTGCACTTAGTCAGACGCTGGCCTTCCTGCTGACTCGATGCACGGAAGGCCCCGGGCACCTTGCTCCTTTCCCCACCCAGGGAGCTTGAATGCCTCTGAATGCCCATCTGCTTCCCAGGGTCCGATGTGGACTTCCACCCCGCTACCCTTCTCCTCTCCGTTTCCTCCAGCATCAGGCTCAGACTCGCCTGAGACCCTGCCCTGATTCTGGCCCCTGTCTGGTCTGTGCTGGCACAGGCAGTGACAGAAAGGGACATGCCTCTACTGCTGTCCCTGTCCTGCAAGTCCCAGGTTTCCTCCTTTCTCTTCCCCAAGTCTCCGTCCTGGCCCTTATGCCGGGTCTGCCCAATAAACATACACAAGGACATTTATCCTGAAAACATCCAGAACCGTGTGTGTGTGTGTGTGTGTGTGTGTGTGTGTGTGTGTTTTAAGGTAAAGGCATACAGGTGAGGGAGGACATGCAATTAGCAAGCGGATGTTGATTTCAGGTCTGTTTCCCCACAGACACCAGAACATGTCTAAATGTTCCTTAGACAAAGCTGGGCTCTGAGCTTGCCAGTGACAGTGGAGCGGGGAGGGGGATTTCTGTTTTTCAGAGAGTCGGAGGTGGAAAGAGACCCCAGTGGAAGTATCAGCACTGCACTGTTGAAGTGCTTGAGCCGGAAAAGGAAAGCAGGAAGGTGAGTGGAGGCACGTCTGGCTGCTCTGGAGGAAGGATCTTTCCACTTCCGAAAGGGCAGAGGGATCAGGAGTGGCAAGTGCACGAGGGATGCAGACTCTGCTGGGCTCTCACCCCTTACTGGGAAGCAACAGCCATTCCTGCTGCCTCCTCCCAACACCAGGTGAAGGCATAAAGGCCCAAGTGAGTTGCATGCTTACACCCCCAAACTGGGAAGAACCATCCTAGCACTGCATACCACTCACTTCTAAATACGGTGCTATTTTATCAGCATCCCAACCCCTAATCGAATGCTCTCCCTTGGGAGACCCTAAGCATCACAAATTCCATAGCTTTAGCTCCCTGCCAACACTAGCTGCCCCTCAAACAGGAGGATGCCCTGATGTAAACAAGCATCGCTCTCCCTGCCACCCAGGGATTCTAGTAAGAGCACAAGGGCCTTGGGACCCCTGGGTGCTCACCTAGTGTGGAAGTTCTGAATGTTCACATTTCTGTAAGGAGCGGTTTTCCTCTGACACCAAAGCAGCAGACCTTCTTTGGCAGATGTTTCTGTAATGACAGTAAAGAAGAGCTCACAGAGAAATACTCACCGCATAGTTCACCCAATTCCCAGACCCTTTCAAAACAGACCTCCCAGGGGCTGATCACCAAACACAACATCTCTTCTGGTGGCTTCTGCAAGCAGATGGCAGCCACTACCTTCTGATAATGCTGAAAGGACTTCGAAAGGACAGTGCTGCTGCCACCACAAGTTGCAACATAAGAAAACACTAAAGCCAGACTTCAGGGTGATTAGTAACTTACCCTGATTTAAATTAAAATAATTTTTTTAAATGTGGGTACCCCACTGTATAAGGTGACACTGAGGACAGCTATTATTCTGAACCTGAGCTTCTGTGCCCAATTTTGAAAGGAGGGCTGTGGAGGCCGGTGGGTGTTTCAGACCTCCCCCTGCCTCTTGACTGACTGAATCCTTAACGTATTAGGAAAGCGTGACACTGGGTGCAATCTCTGAAGTGAGTCTGACAGGACAATCCGAACCTTTGTATCAGCTTAATGTTTGCTTTATACAATCCTGAAAATTCACAAACATAAATAAATGAAAGTAGTCTACAGTGTCACTCACACACAGACAAAAGATGATGACACCACACCTCCCATTCATCTCGTTTTTAATTCACACTCTTAGGTAAGTGGAATTCATGGGAGCTGCCATGTCTCAAGTGTATTACCTTACCCAGTGACTTACAATACTTAGAGGGCTTTATTGGAAAATTTCAAGTTTGGCCACTTGAGTTTTGACTGAGTTCAAAAAAACCACCACCACCTGTGGTGGCCATAAAAATGTGGTGCTCAGACTTCCTGGGCTGCAGCTGCCAGCACAGGACAGAAAACTTTAGCCCTCTGAACACGCCCCTGCATTCCCACGGAGGTCACGCTTCCCCAGCTGCTCCAGCCCAGGACTGAGGGGCGGGCAGTGAAGCAGGGGCATTCCTGCCTGACATGGGACTCCTCTCAGAGCAGCACAGACATAAGGAGTTCCCATCAGCCTGGCTGGGCCAACCTCAGAACTGCACAGAGTCTGAGACCCTTCTTCCCCAAGCCTTCTCCCTTCTTCCTCTCAGCCCAGGTGTCAGCCAGGCACTCTGGTCTGAAGGCTCCCCACACATTTCCTGCTCCCTCCCCTTTATCCTGCACAGGTATTTCAAAGCCCAAGAAACCTCTTGTGCTTCTGTTATGGACTACACGTTTGTGTCTCTCCTCCACCCACAGCTAAATTCACATGTTGAAGTCCTAAGCCCCAGTGTGATGGGATTTGGAGGTGAGGCCTTTGGGAGATGATTAGGGTGAGACAAGTTCAAAAGTATGGGGGCCTCATGATGGCATTAGTGCCTTTATAAAAAGCGACATCAGAGAGCTTGCTCCATGTGTGACACAGCAAGAAGGCAGCCATCTGCAAGCCAGGGAGAGGGTCCTCACCGGAGTCGGACCATGCAGGCACCCTGATTTTGGACTGCCAGCCTCTAAAACTGCGAAAAATGCCTGTTGTTTAAGCCACCCAGGCTATGGTATTTTTTTTTTTTTTTTAATGGCGGCCTAAGGAGACTACTATAACTTCTAATACATCTTGGCACCTGCTTCTTGGAGAACCCAAACTTACATACATCCAAACAGCTCCTCAAAGTTACTTGCACAACCTAGGATTCTGTCCATATTTAAATGTTAACAATGTAGAAAACACCAATAAGCCCGTGGACTCTTAACCAACATTGGGACCTGGCCTTCCATCTTAAGAAGAGTTTGAAGTTGATTTTTCTCAAATCACAATAAATATTCTGTAATTATTTATCCATACTGTCCATTTTAGTTCTGACTTCTATTTGACCTATAACCCAGATGAAATACACATATTCCAAAAGTTTCATGTGCTATAAGAATATGGTTCCCATTTGTGCCTCTTATTTAGCAAATTCTAGTAAAGGAAAAACAACAACAGAAGTTTCTAAGACTTAATTAAAATACTAAGTGTTATAGATGTTGAAATATGAAAATCCATATCTAGTTGTTCTGCTATATATTTAACTGCCTGTCTTTGTGGTTTTGACCAATGCAATTAATAGGAAAAAGTACAGTAGAAGGAGGAAATAATGGGCTGTATTTGATAAAATTTAAATGAAACCTACTGGGTTAGAGATGTAAACAGAGGTATAGTAAAGATCTACAAACTCTTAAAACTGCTACTGAAGTTTAGATTTACAAGTCATTGAGTTGTACCTAATTTCTGTCTAAATATGTGTGAATAGAATTAGGCCATGAATGTCAATCAAAGTTTTCTTCTTATTTAATTGGTTTCTCCAATCAAAGCTGGCCCTCTTCCACCCCAAGTCCATTTTTAGGCTTTTAGCAAAAGGTTAACAAGTCTGTACCAACTGTAAACATGACTGAAAAACCCTAATCATAGGCATAGGGAAAACCTGAAATGTGGACATTTGGCACAAACAGGTCCACACCCAAAACCCTGATCATAGGTGTAAAAAGCATGTTATAGATTGGCAGTGTCATTTGTCATTCTATCATGAAAAGCTGTAGGACACCCCAAAGAGTCCCATCTACTCACATCTGGACTCGTCAACACATACATGAACCCCCCATTTTCTTTCTTGGAAGAGCCCCAACCTATTGTTGAGGGAAACTGGCTCCTTAAAGAATGTGGTTCTTATAACAGTGTCTTTTTCTACATAATATATATACTAAAAAAAATAAAGATGATTTTTAGATTTTTCTTTTTTTCTTTTTTTTTTTGAGTTGGAGTCTCACTCTGTCACCCAGACCGGAGTGCAGTGGTCGCTCCCAGCAACTGCAGCCTCAACCTGCTGGGCTCCGGCTATCCTTCCGCCTCAGCCTTCCAAGTAGCTGGAATTACAGGCGTGCGCTACCACGCCTGGCTAATTTTTTTGATTTATTGTAGAGATGAGGTCTCACCAAGTTGTCCAGGCGGGTCTCAAACCCGCGGGCTCAGGCAATCCACTCACCTCAGCCTCCCAAGGCGCAGGATTACAGGCTGAGCCACTGAGCCTGGCAAAGATGATTTTTAAAAGTCACTTTATAAAACTAAAACCAATAAAAATGTAAGTTAGTGAACTAAATTACCTACTGTGTTGGACACTGAAGAACATTAAGTGAAGTGTTTAAAAAATTACTCCAAGCCGGGCTCGGTGGCTCAGCCTGTAATCTCACGTCTTTGGGAGGCTGAGGTGAGTGGATTGCCTGAGCCCGCGGGTTCGAGACTCGCCTGGGCAGCAAGACCTCATCTCTACAATGAATCAAAAATCAGCCGAGCGTGGTAGCGCATGCCTGTAATTCTGGCTACTCGGAAGGCTGAGGCGGAAAGGATCGCCGGAGCCCAGCAGGTCGAGGCTGCGGTGGCTGGGAGTGGCCACTGCACTCCAGTCTGGACAACAGAGTGAGACTCCAACTCAAAAAAAAAAAAAAAATTACTCCATAAAACTAAAACAAATAAAAATAAACATTGGCAAACTAACATTATCTACTGTGTCAGATACTAAAGAACGTCTTCTTGAAGAGTTAGATATGTTGCTCATACAACTGCTATTTTTTAATGTTTAATTTTTTAGTCTTGTGAGGAGCAAACTAATATATCCTTTTATTGTGACATTTTGCAAAATACTATGATTTGACTATCTTATTTGGGGCACATTAATTACTTTGGGGAAAACTCTAATGGGTAATACCATTCACAGCTACAGTTGAAACAATTAAAATTTAAATTCACATTATCATTCATTTAAAATTTGTAACCACTCAGAAAAAACCTGGTCAAGTTCACCTCCATAATATTTCTGGAAAAAAGCTAAGGCAATAGTGGTAACAAGATTTTTTTTTTTTTAAACCAACAAAATTCAGTCTCTGTAGAGACTGTCAAAAATTGTCAATGCCAAATATATTTCAAGTCATCATGGCAGGGTATTGGGAAAAGTTTTCAATTAGCAATAACTGCGCCTCAGATAAACCTCAGTGACTATGATACTGCCACTGCACAAAGCTTAACAAGATTTTTAAGAACAGTATTTGTTCTTTAAATTGGGTTCGTACAGAGCTCATAGACACAAGGCGAAAAAATTTTGTAAATAAAGTGGGTTCAACTATTTAAATATTTAAATCTAAAAGTACATTAAAATGTATAAACTTATTACAAATTACAATTTTTAATAAAGCAGGAATTTTAGGAAGCAACTCGTTATTTTCATTAGCATAAGGGAGCATACTTTTTAATAAAACTACATTGTGCAAAAGTTTTCAAATTCTGACTATTAATTCTAGCTGGTTGTCAACCCTGAGCCTGAACTGTTGAGGTTTTAATGTCATCACATCTTAGTTTGATTTTCAGATGGCATAAATGGGTCTTCAGTGCTAGAAGAGAATAATCAAACTGAATTAGAAGCTCCTTAACAGCAATACTGCAGGCTTCGTGTCACCTGATACAACAGTCAGCAAATTGTTGGTTCTTAATATTTCTTGGTTGATGAGCATCTAAAAATACTTGAAAAGACCCAAGTCAGAGGGTACACTGCCCTAGGGAGAAGCATAAATAACACCCACACCACCCCTTACCACTCAGGCACCCGGCCACCTGTCAGTTATAACGTTAGGGGAAGCTGACTAGTTGGACAATTCAGACTGCCCTTAAACACATTTTGCAGTTATACATTTTGTGATTTGAGGGCTAAACAGACACAGTTCTAATTTTAAGAATGTCAATTTGACCCTTTGCAAGAGTGCTGAATGCATCAAAATACTGGGAGTGCAGTGGATGTAAAAGAACAAAGATTTTTATCTTCAGTGACAGTGCCAAGATTCCGTTACAACAATGATGAAGCAGTTGTGAGGTCATGACAATAGTTTTTTTGGGGGGGGGTTGTTTTTTGTTTTTTAAAGGAAGGAGAGAGGGAGGGAGAGAAATAACAAACAAACTTGAGTTGCAATAGAGTATTTTTTGTACCTGGAAGAAAAAAGTGTTTCAGTTGTAAGCCTAAAGAACTGGGCCATAGCTGTGAATTTGCTAGTATAAAAAGCAATCAAGAAGCTCAATAAATGCTCGTTTTAAAAAGCGACTTCTGTTCTGAACATGTGCTCATCCTTTCTAAAATGATTCTATCCCATGAACGAAATAGTATTGCTGGGGTCTTTACCTACACAAACATAAAATTCATAAAAATCCAACTTACATGCCTTTCATTCCATCGTAAACGTGACTGTTCAACTTGACAATATCTTATTCAAATTTTCATTCACGAGCTCAATTTACATATTATTCCATTAGACTTTTAATCATATCTTTTACCTTCAACTGAAATATCCTGAATAGCAAAACGAAGGATGATGGTCCAGATCATACCCAGGGTCATTTTCACATTGCCATCAACAATTTCTGTGGGTAAGAAAACAACAACAAATCATGGAAAGATAACATAATCAGTATATCACTTCTTTTTCTATGTACAAATTTTGACTTCAGAGCTATTGGGAATTGTACATATGGAAAGACAAGTTTATGTTTTTATAAGCATCACAGTGTGTCTGGTTATAAATATGGTATTCATAACCAAATGTCTCCAGTTTAAATGAATTCTGAGTTAATAATAAGCACAAATCTTGCATATGTATTATCACTGAAAACCACCCTGGAGTTTCCAAAGTTTGGGGACTATAAGAGCTAAGGTTTTAAATAATCAAATAAAAGAGAACACAGCCTCATGTTTCCCCTGAGCCTTCTTACAGCACTCCCAGTTGCCAGCAGCAGGCTCTGTGGGGCACAATGAGACGCAGGGAGTCTCAGCTCCTGCACCCTCACCAAATTCTCAGTCTCTTGCAGAGAACGAAGGGGCCACTTCCTTCTTGTTAACCAGTACTCTCAAGAGTCACTGGGACATCTGAGCGCCTTCTCATTTCTATAACTGGTCTACAGAAGTCAGCATCATATTTGACTCTATTCTTCACAGATGACTCAGAGCCTAGTCTTCCACTCGTGGTATCATTTGTTCTCATCTCCTTATACCCAGAGCCCAGCAGAAAGTCTGACACAAAGCAGGCACAAGTGAGTGGTGAAAGGAAGGGAGGAAGGGGAGAATCCAAGTCGCAAGCCACATCTCTGCCGTGAGATCAGCATGGTGGGCAGGGCCACTTCCTCACATCTCTCACCTTCAGCCCCGATGGACACCAGTTTCACCCCTTTGCTGGCTATGTAATCCAAAGCTTTGTTGACATTAGCAATTTTGTGGAACCGCATTTTTCCTCGGTCAGGTTTGGGCAGCCTTTCCCCTGTTGAATGACAAGAGAACAGTGCAGTCACAGAGACAGCAACCCCCTGATGCAGAATCATGAAGCAACAGTTCAAAGTCCCTGCTCCTCTGAAACAGAAATGGGTACTTGACGATTTCTGACATGTTTCCGGTTTCTTGAAATCACAATAAAGGGGGACCACTGACCAGAAAAAACTTTCAGGATCAAATTGACCAGCAGGGAGCCATACTAAGGCCATATGCTTTTCTGGTCTGCAGGGAGAGACCAGCTTAGCTCATGATCCAACTTACAAATGAGTAAAGAGAGAAGCTGCTTAGTGTCCCTGGAGCATTCTGCTAGCTGGCTAACTGTGAGAGGAAGTTCGGATGGCCTAGTTCAAATCACAGAGACAGCTGCCAGGGCTCGTCTTTGACACCTAATTATGAAGATATATGGATCAGGGAGACCTGCCACCATCCTTTGCCATCACACTTCTCCAAAGGTGATCCATCTTCTGATCCAAAGCCTAAAACAGCTGCTTGAAATTCAGGGCAAATCATAACCCCACTAGGATTTTAGCTTATATACTGAGAGTGATGCCATCATGTGTATTGGTTTTTTGGATATGAGATAATTTTGGAAATATACACTAGCTAGACAAGAGTAGAGAGGGTAACATGGTGGGAAGTCCTATAAGTGTCATTTTTTTCTTCTCTTATTTTGTTTAGAGATAGGTGGTATAAATGTTATTTTAATAAGTCAATTTTAAACAGAATACACTCCTTTTTCAGGACAGAAAAACAACTGCAGGCAGATTGCTCCTTGGAAAGGAATTCTTTGCCAATAATATCATGTTCTTGTCCAGTCAAATTCACAGGGAACTTCTGATGCAGTCATCTTTAAGAAGATGCTTACCTACTGATACATAAAAGTATAGAATTGGGGCATATGAAACCAACCTGAGATGACTTCCAAAAGCAGCATGAGTTTAAGTCCATTCCTGAAGTCTTCCTCGATGTTTTCAATCTGGGTGCCAGCCTTCCTTAGGTGGGAGTTACACCAGGCAGTGAAGGTCTGCAATGGAAACCCAACACCACTTAGCCCAGGCCCACTAGCAGTCACACCCCTGCCGCATGGACAACACGCAACACTATCAACATTCTGGGAAGTCTATGAGGCTGGGGTTGCTTGGCCCTTCTAGAGAATTTGTCGGAAAGAGGAACTGGAGACCCAAAGCTCAGAGTTCAGTAAAATTTCCTCTTTGGAGCCAAGAACTCAAATCTTGAATATTCCAATCTGAAGAATTTTTGCCTTCAGTTAAAAACACACCATGTTAACCCCTGTACCTTTACCCTCTGACCACTTCTGACTTTGTGGAAAAGATAGAACAAATTAGGATAGGCTTATTCCCTGTCTGCACAAAAATAAGCTTGTTTACAGAATGAGTGAATAAATAATGTTCAACAAATATTCAAAATGTCTTACTTTAGAGCAGAGGGTGGGCAATACTGTGTAGCAGAAAAGAGCAGAGGAGGGACCCATAACCACTAATTATCAACAACTAGTTTTTCTTGGTTGAACAACAGTTTTAAGCTAGTAACTAAATCAATTAAACAAATTTGCAGTATAGTCAATCATTGAAAAAATAATAACCATAACAAATAGCCTCCTACTAGCATATTCCAGGCTCTAGACTAGATCCTGGATTTCAAAGATAACTGGATACAGCCCTGCCCTGGAGGGGCTCACAGTGCAGTCACGTTAACAACTTACTAGGGCAATCTTCAGCAGAAAATGGACGGCCATATGCTAAGTGGCATCCAAAGTCATTCTGTCTATTTTTCAAGCTCCTTTTAACTTGGCTTCCACTTGTGCACTATTTCCTGCCAAAACCAGATTAGAAATACTTTTGGCAGCTGCTGGCTGAGCATGCAAACTGTCCCCTCGGCTCACAGCAGTTGCTGGGCTCAAGAACAAAGTGCCTGGCACGACAAAATAGGGAGCAGGGGACATACACATAGGGTCTGTGTTCAAGATGAGAAAGTCAACCTATCTAAATGAATATGGAAAGACAGAGGCCCATGAAAACAATTTTCCCACGTAATAAAGAAGATTTTCAAATCTAAGTAGTCCCTCATTTCAAGAATATGTGATGGCATCAAATTCAAGGACAAAAAGAAAATGCAGCATTTTCTTGGACTTATAGTAATAAGTTTTACCCTGAGGGCCTAAACTAAGAATTATTTCTTCTACAACACACCTAAGCTTTAGTCAGGTCTAAACAGAAAAAAGACACACTAAGCTATATGCTTCAGATCGACACCCAATCAGTGTGGTAGCCCCTGGCCACAAAAGACTATTGAAACTTAAATGAATTAAAACAAAATGAAAAGAAAAGCTTAGCTCCTCAGTTGCACAAGTCACCTCTCAAGTGCTCAAAAGCCATATATGGCTAGTGGCTGCTGTACTGGATGGTACAGACATACAACGCTCCTATCATCATGGAAAGTTCTACTGGACAGCACTACTCTAGATAATTGTTTTGTTTTGTGAAGGTAATATTATTATAAGAATCTGTTATTTGTTTATTTAAGTATTTCTTTTATGTATTTACTTTTTGAATAGTCAATACATTTCCTTGGTTCCAATTCCAGTGGTACAAAAAGGAGTAACATTAAAAGCTTTCTTCTCACCCTTGTTCCCCCATGCCCTTCCCCAGAGGGAATAAAGGTATCAGTCTCTTGTGCATCACTTCGGTGATATTTATGCATATATAAACACACAAACACACATACTTTTTTGTGGTCTCTTTAACACAAATAATAGTAAACACATTATTCCACACTTTGCTTTTTTTTTTAACCCACTTAAACAGCATAACCTATAGATCATTCCATATCAGTATGATCATTCCTTTTTATGGCTGAATAGTATTCCACTGTATTGTATACAGCATACTTTACAGATCCCTATGGATTAACGTTTTTTTGTTTGTTTTTTTTTAATTTTTTTAATTTCAATTTTTATTTATTTATTTATTTATTTTTTGAGTTGGAGTCTCACTCTGTCGCCCAGACTGGAGTGCAGTGGCCCGCTCCCGGCCACCGCAGCCTCGACTTGCTGGGCTCCGGCGATCCCTTCCACCTCAGCCTTCCGAGCAGCCAGAATTACAGGCGCGCGCTACCACGCCCGGCTGATTTTTTGATTTGTTATAGAGATGAGGTCTCACCTGCCCAGGCGGGTCTCGAACCCACGGGCTCAGGCCATCCACTCACCTCAGCCTCCCAAAGGCGCGGGATTACAGGCTGAGCCACCGAGCCCGGCTGGATTAACATTTAATATTTAGATTGTTTCCAGAGAAGTTCCTACAGTTAAAAAAAAAAATCCCAGGTTCCATCTTCAGCCAATAAAACTCCTTTAGAGGGTTTTTTTAAACTGACTATATTGAGACTAATCATATATCTGATGTTTTGGGAAATACACGAAGGAAACAGCTAGCCAGTTGTTTAAAAAAAAAAAAGTAATTAGGCCAGGCACAGTGGCTCACGTCTATGATCCCAGCACTTTGGGAGGCTGAGGTGAGTGCATTGCCTGAGCCCATGGGTTTGAGACCAGCCTGGGCAACTTGGCGAGACCTCATCTTTATAAGAAATCAAAAAATTAGGGAGGCATGGTGGCACGGGCCTGTAGTTCCAGCTACTTGGAAGGCTGAGGCAGAAGGATCACCTGAGTCCAGCTGGTTGAGGCTACGGTGGCCGGGAGCGTGTCACTGCCCTCCAACCTGGGTAACAAAGTGACACGCCAACTCAAAAAAAAAAAAAGTAATTGACAGAAAGAAAATGTCATGGTATAGAGTTGTTTTTATTTAAATTCTACTTAAGAATGGGTAAATATTGCTGGTACAAGTCATCATACCTTGTTATCCTATGAGTTAAGTCTCTTCATAACACAAGTATTAGAAACGCTTCTGGCTATAACTCCAAAAGCTGTTCAAAAAATCAGTGCAAGCTTCCTCTGACCCCATCAAGGAATACTGTGAAAGTCTGTTTGATACCACTTTTTATAGGTACACATACAATGAAGGTAATTTACCATAGGTGATGATTCAGGTGTGCAAATCCAGAGAACAAATTTAACCTAAAAGACCATTTAGCTGAATTAAGCCTAATGAAGTTTCCCTATCTTTAATGAGAACTCCTAAGAGCCAACAAAGGTGGTGACTAACCAACTTAAATGCAGAAGAAGGACTCCAACTGTTCTGTGATAACAGCTTGCAAAGAGGCCAAAGCACTCTGAAAATGAACTTTAAGTTTCATTAGAATGTTTAATTTTCATCCTATTTCCTGTTTTAATTACCATGGCCTAGGGAGACTGTTCCTAAGCATTTCCCATCACCTCTGTTTCTGTGAAAAGCCTGTCAGTCATGGAGGAGATAGAACAACACCAACAAAACCCCACACATCTGAACATGCATCTTTGAGTGCCACAAAAACTAAATGCTGAAGAACTCAAATGGGAATGAAGGTAGGTCTACATGATGTTGGAGCCAGCCTCCTTGATTCCATCTTGGTAAACCAGATTACCAAGTCAGATGTCCTTTCTTAAGGGAAATGGTGCCTTACTGAACCAGATACAGACCATTGAGGAAAGGCGCCAATGTCTCCCCAACCCACAGCTCAACCCAGAAGGTGCCCAGGCACGTGTGAGATCCTCCAACCTCCTGTCTCGCTTCCAACTCAAAACTTCCTCCACCTTTCTCCTGGAGAAAAGCTTATTCCCATTCCTCTGTACCTAGCCATAAATACGAGTGCTTTGAGCATCTCAAAAATGGACACATAAAAATAGTTTCAGGGCTACACAAAGAAGACCAAGATGGGAAACTGTGAAACTGTCTATGCCCCCAAAGAAAAAACAGATGTTTCTATTTCTTATCGTTCACCAAAGAAATTAAGACAAAGCTACGGAAAAGAGTGTTCAAGCCAGAGAGAACAAAGATGGAAATGCAGTAGAAGATGCTGTCTCACTATACAGTCCTTGAACAAATGAAGCACATATTAGGGTCTCTTTCCTAAACAGCAGGAACTGCAGTCAGTCAGTCACAACGAGCGTGGGTAGTCTATAGGTACTCCACAGCCGATGTAGGCCCCCCCTGAACCCTGATGGAAATTCTCCTGTGTGCCATGTTCTAGTGTCTTATAGTCATACGGATGCTTTCACGTGATAAGACTGAAGGATACTCTAACAAACAGCAGTCTCTGCCTCTGTTATATACCTAAGCATGATCTAGAGAGCCAGAAAATGCTCCTCAACCTCCAAAACACGGTGGCTGACAAAAATATCAGTTGAAGGAATTTCCAGGAATATCTGCTAGCTAGAATTGTTAGGCTCATTCAGTTTAGGACTTACTAACAAAGTCCTTAGTTTATGGGAGCCATAAGACTACTGTCTTTCTCAAAGTGAAATTATATAACAGGCCAATAAGCGCAAAGTGCTTAATGGCAAAAAAAGAAGTATGTATGTTACTGAATTGTTGAGATAAGTTTGTGGTATTCATCTGTTATGCATCTGTATTTGGTTTTTGTGTAAGTTAATAAAGCCTATAACCATATCAACCTACCTTGTAGACTATTCTACAGGGTAAAGATAGAAGAGGCTTTTTAATCAAAATGAGCTAAATCTGTGATTATTTTTATGGTTCTTCCTTGACTTCACACATGCAAAATTCTACCTGGAAGAGATTATTACCTGGGAACACAGATGGGGACAAAAAAGATCAGCATGAGTCTGAGGTGATTCTCTGAATATAAGTTCATTTCATCTTTCAGTGAATTATTCATTCTCCTAGCAATAAGGTTCTAAGCCTAGGCTGGCTCCTGGAAGGTTATCGGGTTCTAACTTTATCATTCCATTTTCTCTAAGCAATCATTTTTTGGCAACACATCATACATTTTCTTTATACTTCTTTAACCAGCTTTTTCTTTCATACTAATGACACAAAATACTCATTTCAGATCACATTTCCCGAAATGGAAACTCATCACAGACGTGGGGCTTTTCTGGATGAAATGACCTGGGGTCTACTTGGGACAGGGCAACTCAGGCAGAGCTGCAGCCTGGAGCTCAGGAGTAGGAAGGCCTGAGGAACATTTAGCTTTCAAGCCCACCAGTGGTCAGAGGCCAGGAGCGCTCTAGGGCACTATTGAGAAGTGCTATATGATGCTAAGGTTGCATATCATTAACTTTCCGCAGGAAGCAGAAACATCAAGAGGCCCGTTCTATTGGTCCCCAGCCTGCCCTGACACTTGTTGTCGCATGCATCCCATGAGGTGGGACAGCTGAGCCCCAGTGGTGGCAGCAGCATCAGCCAACCCGAAAGGGAACAGGGAAGACAGGCGGAGCCTGGTCCAGCCCGCAGTCATGGCTCAGAACTCAAATTCTATTTCTGACTCTGACACCATGCAATTATTTGTCCTTCACATCCTGATGCTTTCCCAGCCATAAAAAAAAGTCACTGCCATCATCAGCTTTATGAAATCGTTCAAAAGGTCACCCAGAGGAGAAGAAACACAAAAGTAGGCTGTCCAGCACCACCTGAGCCAAGGTGGTTCTAAACACGCTTTCATGTAGAACTACGGACAACCACAACTCCATTAAGCCGGTTTTCTACAAATGCCCCGTTTATTTTTCTATTTACAACAATCATTTTAAGTGTTCTTTTTTCCACTTCACAAATTCCTAATTTACCAAGATTATGTCTAATCACTTTCCTGGTTCTTTTAAATACTGGAAAAGTGAGGCGGTTTTTAGAAAAAGAAAACTGCATATGTTTTTTAAATCTCCAGTTCTGGTGGAAGAGGAAGCAGAGCTGTTTCTCTGAAGTAAATGTGATAAGAAAGCATTAAGAAAGGAGACTGTACCCTCATGGAGAGTAGGTGTCCCAACCCTCTGAAAGGGTAGAAGTCCCTGCAATCCACGTGGCTGTCACAGGTGGAATGGACTGGTTCACTACAAAGTATCCCAACTCCCCCAGCCAGAAAGGCTAGACAGGTACACACATCCCTCCAAGACCCGCACTGGGTGATCCTCGAAAATGCTTCAACATCCCAACCAATAGGCCATTCCACAGTCATATCAGAAACCAGCAGAGTGACCTTAAATTTCAATGTGCAGACACTCAACCATCTTGAAAAACATTTGTATTGGCATCTACACAAACGTCAAGGAAGTTTTCTGGACCCAGAAGCCACTGACCATGGTGACTAACTGTTTAGCCTAATGAAGACTGAATAATCATCTGACTTTGAAAATATTCCAAACCTTCAAGGTTGCCAAGTGCCCAGATACACCTTTTAACTATTCACACGAAATTTTAAAAATTTAATCAAAACAAGGAGTATGTAAATGAAAGAGTTTTAATCCTAAACCTCTTGCATGTGCTACAATCAGTTACCAGGATGTCCTAAAGTTCATTTGGGGCCCCAACATTCTCGTAACTTACATACCCAGGCATCTAACCACACAGTGGGCAGCTCTTTTATTCCCTGTCCATAAATCTCTGCCTAGTCTCCAAGATCCTGTTAGATACCATGGTATGTGATAGCTTGGTTTAGCAATCCCTTGAAAGACAGCAGCCCTTTGATCCGAAGCCTAGCTTTGTGATCAGCTTAGTGTCTGGTGTGGTCAAGTCAGTTCATCTCTATGGCTTGTTCCCTCTCCTTAGGAATGCACTATTAATCAGACTCAACTAGTTTGCTGTGAAGAGCCTGGAAAATATTTTGCAAATACTATAAATACCACATAGGAACACAAAAGAACAACAATCAGTGGTGGTAATTCAAAGGAACTTGAGATGCTATGGGGTTTAAACTGAGAAAAAATTAAGCCATTCCAGAATCTCTCTCAAGTAGGGCAAGATGGCTCAGAAAAATCATCTATAGTCACGATTTAAACCTACTTGGGCATAGGAGACATCTCGCCTCCAATAACTAAGCATAAACACACTTTTGCTGAGTACAATGCATAGAATGTTGCTGCACAGACAGAAAGGGGAGGCAAGGTCTGTGATTCAAGAATCCAGAAGGCTGCCAAGTCTTCATCTTTTCCAGATTTATCACAAGTGTTCACACTAAGGTTCAGAGAACAAAGAGCATCATTAGCATATCTTAATTTCCTCTGGGTAGAAGGTGTTCAGAACATCAGTTTTTGCCCATAGAGAACAAAAATATTTGGCCCATGCAATTAAAAACAAACAAACAAAACAAAACATGACTAATGAGCAACATTCAAATCAGGATTTGGTGTGTAATTCAACTCATACAAAGAGTCTTAACATTAACTCTTGTGAAAAAGCAAATCCCATTGCATTCCATTGCAAAAGGAAGACCCACAACTGGTTTCCCAAGCCTTTACATGCTTGTGCGCTTACATATTATTTATCAAAAACACACAAATGAATGCAGTAGCCTCTAACCCTACCTTACTCACTCTACCATCACTCAGAGAACCCAATACTCAGCAGGTGCACGGACATTCACACACACAGAGCTTGTTCACATTTTCAATACGTCCAAGTTTAAACTGTGATCATCTGAATCATAAATAAATCAGAACCTCAACAGTACCAAAATGCAGCTTTTAGTCTGAGTTCCGGGAATACTGACAAAGACACATTTAATTACTCAAAGACAAGGTGAGAGAAAAAAGAGAGGCAGGCTTTTTTTTCCTGTTGATTCACCCCAAAAAAACTCTGCCTGCAAGCAGGATTCCAGATCTCTTTCTATTCCATGCCTTAGCATACCTAACAACCTCAAATTAAGGGATAAGAAAGCCCACAAGCAACTCAAGTGTTTTCTGAGAGTTGTGATAGTGGTGGCACCATCACCACCATCACTTGAATGCTCTAAGAAATGCTGGTGAAAGCAACACAGAGGGGAGCAGAGATCTCTATTTTGTGTTCTGGACAGTGCTTGGAACACAGTGGCATTCAATAACTATTTATTGAATAAGATCTTATTTGTCAGACTTTCTGGCACAGATCAAAGAGGAAAGCAGTCAGAATTTTTTAATCAAAAAAAATTTAAAACCAAGAAGCTAAAAATGTGTCTCAAGTTCCAGGTTTTTAAAAATTATTATTATAATGTCAAACTTAACTACAGAATCCTTAAATGTGAAGAAAGATTCTATAATCTTGCCAAGGGGGAAAAAAAAAAGAAATACCTTGCAAAAATAACAGGCAACCTCACAGTTGAGGGTATCTAAAAATAGAATCAGGCTAATGGATGACACTTTAAGTGGATAGGTTAAAGATGGCTCTCCCAGCACTTGAAAAGTGTCTTATCCAGGTCTGGTTTTAATCAGAAATTCTGAACAGTGAATTTCAGGCATCAAGTGCCAGGATCACAGACTGACTTCCATTTAGTCCATGGGCTGTTCAGAATACAGAAAGAAAGGCGCTAAGTTCCAAGGCTGTGTAACAGGGAAAAATGCTTTTGGGGTTTCTTAACAAAGCTAAATCTAGCCCTAACTAATTTTAATTTTGGTTTGAGGAATGACCTTTCTGAAATGTGGAATCTCCCCTAACTTCCAGAAAGGATGGACGCTATGGAGTTAAGAAAGGGAAAATATCTAATAAAGCTACTTTAAACAGGGACAAATCTATGTCCCAAAGTGAAACTTGTTCAATGTCCACAGCAGTCCTTCTACAACTTTCTAAGTCACAGACAACTGATAGCAATACAAAATGACTCTGTTTACAGACATGCAAATGAATTCTTTCCAGCAGAAAGGCAACCCTCCTCCACTCAAAAAAAAGTCTGTCTCCACTGACACATTTGTTTCAATGTTCCTGATCCATAAATGGGTCTATTCTTTAGATGCTCTTTTGAACTGGCTGCAATACCTCACCAGCTTTCTCACTAATGAGTTAAATAACATCCTTAACACATATTTATCTTTATATTTCAGCGTCATGATTTGGCTTTTATTTAGAATTGTCTTTTAATTCTTAGTTTGAATATTTCTTCTAAAAGGAGGTCTGGATTCCAATAAGCTGAAATAGCCACTATTTTGACCCACATTTTATTGATTTCTGTGATATTATATGTTTGTGTGTGTGTGTGTGTGTGTGTGTGTGTGTGTGTGTGTGTGTGTGTTTGTGTGTGTGTGTTTATCCATGGGTCCTGGCTCATAACTCTCATAGCCCTTGTTACGGTCTTTTGTTATGATGCCCGGCACTTTAGGCCTCAAGCAGGCCTCAGAAAACAGAATCTCTTTCTGATCTTTCCTATGTCCCTTTCACCTGCTTCATTTTCTACCCAGGCAGGACTCTAATCTTCCCCTGCCTTTCTGTCTTAGAACTGGACACAAAGAAATTCTCTGACCGACCTTGCCTTATTGTAGGGTATAAGATCCTCATTTCAGAAAGGGTACTGCCCCAAACCCAAGATAAATGAATGTTACACAGAGAAGCCAAGAATAATCTAAACAGATAGGCCTTGCTGGGTTTAGACCATATCCCTTTTTTGTCCAATCACATTTCTACATGGTTGTCCTTGCTTCAGTCGTGGCTATCCAATAAAGTTTCCATAAAGGGCCCAAGAGGAAAAGGTACAAAGAACTTCTGGAGAGCCAAACACATGGAGGTTCCTGGAGGACGGAGCACCCAGGAAGGGCATGAAAGCTCCGTACCCCTCCCATACTTCACTCTTATGGGACTGAGCCTTCAATCTGTGGGATCTGACACTCTCTCCAAGTAGATAGTGTCAGAATGGAATTGGAGGACAACCAGTGGAGTCAGTCTTTAATACGCAAGAAAAGAATGACACGGAACTAACTGAAATCTATCACGTGCTGATCTTAAATGCCTGTATGCTTCCCATGTCATGTGAAACTAACAAGTGTCTCAAGTTAAGGCTTACTACATTCCTTTTCCACATCAAATTCTCCATTTAAATCCCAATATGTGTCCCCATGTTCCCTCCTATACTGCTCACTATAAATAATACTGGATTCGGGTTGAATTATTTAGCATTTTTGTCTGTTTCATAAAGATCTTGCATTTATCAAGAAGCTAAAGTATTTCCATCTGTTAATTTCCTCCCTGCTCAAGAAAATCTCCCACAAGCATTTTATTGCCACTTACAGGAGTCCTTATTATTCATTCTCCTAATTCTTATTTTTCAGCTGCAATTACTTATCTCCACCTCTCTGTAATCCTCAAATTAGAGTCAGACAACGCATCAAGGACATCAAACATCTCTGAGCCATGAATTCCTGATGGTAGTTTGCAGTTCAAGCTTGCTCTACTGTGGTTCCAAGTGGTGTTTTAAAATTCTCGTAACAGGATTTCAATTATTTTTTTAAATGATACAGAATTATCTCCTCTAAAGGAGAATTAACAAATGACTCTGATGAAACCCCGCATTTTAACCGTTAAATTCAAGAGAGTTAAGACTAGAAATATGAAGATTCTTCCTAAACTATTTTAGGACTGGAAAGCATATGTTAAACCAGCCAAAGGAAATAGCTCCAGAATCAAAGTCTACATCATTTTGCTCTAAAAGGTAGTAAGCTCAAAGAAACACATGAAAGCTACTGAGCCCGGTCATCCAAGCTTAAAGATTTTTCTGAGCCAGGAGCCTGACTTAGCCACTAGCTGAGTGTTCTGTGGGGTCACACCTGCCTCTCCCAAGTTGGCACAAATTATGTGGAGAATTCCTCTGAGGACCTTCTGGTAAGCAACCATATTAAGGCTCCCAACAAACAGCCTTACATATGATTGATCCTGAGTTATGCTTCCCAAAATAACTGTTCTCTTGGAGCCTGGGTAATTATGTGCAAGATATGGCTCTGTGACAGGGCATACCCAACTGCTGCTCAGTTTAAGGCAATAGCAACATTTATTGTACTTTCCTCCTTTCTCTACAGGAGGATGAATTCAAGCTTCAAGAAAAGCACACTGATGTTTCCCCCTCAGCCCATCCGGCAACTGGAGAAGCAGCTTGTACTACAAAGACAGTTAAATAAATATTCCTTAATTTAAGTTCACCATACTGCGACTATTTTCAGGGACCCAAATAAATGGCTGCCTACACATCGAGATGAGAGCATTCATTTAGAATGAAACAGCTGTCTGTAATGCACCACATTTTCTGCACTGGTGTCCCAGACCAGAGCACAAGTCTAAGTAAGGAACAGCCCACAGTCAGGTACGTCTATTGCCCTTCTCTACATATGGAGGAAACGCTGGCTAACATATGGAATTAAAAATAGGGAAGCTGGGCATTTCCACAGTTCCTGCCAACGCCACACCGGTGGGAACCAGCCTGGGATTTCCTTTATCAAGAGTTCTTTCCTAAGGCTCATGCTGACTACAGAGTGTTCTTGAGAATAGATAACAAAGTCTTTGCATCCTCATCCATTTTAGACAACTATATATTACAGTAGAAAATACATAAATAGATGTTTCTGTACTATAGTGTAAAGTGATCTAGTTTGCATTTGGCAAAATGTGAACACTTGTTTTCTCTGGGCAGTCACTTTTTAAAATGTCTTACCTATATTTTCTACAATGAATGTGTCATTCTGTCTACGCAATCATTTAAAAATATATCTTTTTTTAAAATTAGGAGTCTCACTCTGTTGCCCACACAAGAGTACAGTGGCACACTCAGGGCCACCTCAGACTCGGCCTGCTAGGCTCAGGTGATCCTTTGCCTCAGCCTTCCAAGCAGCTAGAACTACAGGCGCACACCACCATGCCTGGCTGATTTTTTTATTTATTGTAGAGACGAGGTCTTGAACCCCCAGACTCAGGTGATCCTCTTGCCTCCACCTCCCAAAGTGCCGGGATTGCAGGTGTGAGTCCATCGCGCCCAGTCAGGTGGCTCAGCCTGTAAACCCGTGCCTTTGGGAGGCTGAGGTGAGTGGATGGCCTAAACCCGCCGGTTCGAGACCCGCCTGGGCAGTAAGACCGCATCTCTACAATAAATAAAAAAAAAAAATCAGCCGGGCGTGGTAGCGCATGCCTGTAATTCCGGCTACTTAGAAGGCTGAGGCGGAAGGATCGCTAGAACCCAGCAGGTCGAGGCTGCGGTGGCCGGGAGCAGCCACTGCACTCCAGTCTGGGCGACAGAGTGAGACTCCAACTCAAAAAAAAAAAAGTAATTTGTAGAAGTACATATAATTTGTTATCCTAGACTCATAAAACTATTTTCTTGGCCTCTCCCTAGTTATCTGTAATTATGCTAGCTAGCTTTACTTTGTAAATCCTCTATAGTCCTGAAAAGAGTGAAAAGGTACTTAAATTGGATATAATCCAGCAACCCTACATTTCTGAAGTTAATCACTTCATGAAGTACTTACTGCTTCAAAATGCTTTAAAACTTCACATTAAAATCCCTATTTTGACATCGCATTTTAAAATACTAGTGGAAAAGATATACACTGCTCAAGTTCTAGGACTGCAGAATAGAAATCCTTTGGAATCCTTAATATCCAGTTACCCAGTTACCACAATAGAACCCATGGTCACACACCAGGTATTTCTGACATGATTTTTCCTGCCTCCTTACCAAGACCTCAAAGGATTCTAACAGTGATAGCCCCACCTGTGTCTCATTATGGAGATAAGAGAAAATGTTATATTAATATGATTTTATCACACAGTAATATATTTATCACCATTTCACTCCCAGATTTTCAAGTGCCTGAATGTAGAAATAAATTCTTCCAGTTTTGAGAACACTTAAATTGTCAGAAGAACAAAACTAGAGACCTGACTTCAGTAATTGGTTCAGATATTTAAATACTGGTTAACTGTTAGTTTTTCAGATATGCAAAAAAATCACTAATTCCTAACCCATATTAACATAAAATTGTCTAAAGTATACGTGTGTATGACATTTATAAATATGTATATG